AGAGAAAAAAGAAAAAGAAAAAAGGGGGAAGTAAAGAGAAAGGAGATGTATTTAGGGTTTATGGAGGAAGAAGAGAGGTGGTATAGTTTTAGCAATTTAGATAAAAAACAGATTTTAACGTTTGATAGCAATTTAAATGTTTAAAAAAATCCACAAAGAAATTAGTTTAATGATTGTTAGCAATTTAAATATACATCTCCTCTACAAATAAATTAGGGATTTAATATGAGTTGAATACTATATTTAAAACCACATTTAAAAAAAAAATAAAAAAGATAAGATTTAAAATATAAAAGTTTACTAATAGTAATCTTTTAATATTGTAAATGACTGTTAAGGTAAGATCTTTATCAGTTTGAGTCTAATTCAAGAATGTAATTTGTAACTATTTTTAGATGGGTAATCTTTCTTACTTAAAGTTTAGATTTCAAATTAAGATGGAGTAATATTTGAAGGTAATATTAAAAAAAAATTTGTCTTTTCATATATATATACCATATACACACATTTATGTAAACGTCACATATACATACGTTCATTTACATGTGCAATTACACACGTAAGCACACACATGTGTCAATATACACCAGTACCTATGCATATTCATATATAAATAATTACACATACATTTACAAATACTTACACATTCATATTTATTTAAATTTTTCCTTAAATTTTACATTTAACGTTAAGTGGTGAATGAAGTGTTTAAATTTCAAAAAAAAAAAAAAATTTGAATTTTAATACTTTTACTATCAAGACTAAGAGCTAAAGAGTATTATATTTAAATTTAAATTATCAATTTAAAATGAAATTATCTCCAGATAATTAAAATTTCAATCTTACAATTCTAATTAGAAAATATTTAAAGGGAAAGTAAAATTAAACATTAACGTATGTATATGTGAGGTTTACATAAATGTGTATGTGGTATATATATGAAAAAACAATTTTTTTTTAATATTACCTTCAAATATTACTCAATCTTAATTTGAAACCTCAGAATTTCATCCTCCTTGGGACTACCCATACAGATTACCAAGTTTTTTGTTACTTATATATATATATATATATATATATATATATATATATATATTTAGGAATCCTAAATTTTTTTGAAGATTATATGAATATATATATATATATATATATATATATATATATGAAATATGCTGGTATAAAAAATAAGTGGGTCAGTTTCTTGATAATACTGTATATCAACCAATGTTGAGTCATTTGATGTTGAATTTTGTAAGGGACAACCAATGAGAATTGATCTTACTAGTCAGTATTAAAAGGTCACTCAGACTAACCTCACAAAACATACAATGCAGAGTCTCTCAAATGAGAGACTCTCTGATTTCCAATTCCAAGCTGTTACACATTACACCACCCACACATCAAAGCTTACAATGCCTGACATTCCCAAGCGGTCACCCATCCAGGTAACATATTATGTTGATATTTTTTTTAGGGAATTGGGTTTCCCCAAGAACTAGGATTCACTCTTAAATAGACATGGTTCCAACCTTTGTTATTTTTATTTCACTTTTGAATTGGCTACTCTTTTGGGAAAAATGCAAACAAAAAATACCAACATTGTTTTTAATGGACTGTTATAAAATAATGCTTCTTGTGTTCTTGCAGGCTGCGTAAAATCAAAAAGGCATGTGGTCTTTTTTTTTGATTGATTGATAGGCCATGAAAAACAAATCAATCTTTTGCAGGTTATTTAAAGCCAGAAAAATATTGTTCAATTGTAATAGATTTTTGGAGATAATGATTTATTGATACAAGTCCTACTAATTAACCCATAGCTTGGGGAGAGGTGGGGGATTTATAGCTTCCCCAAGTGTATCCGTGCATGTGAATACAACAAACCCGATTGGAATTGGAACTCAGCTCTCTGATTTCAAATTCTGAGCTGTTATGCATTAAAACAATTGCACATCAAAGCTTACAGCATCTGGTATTTCTAGGCAGTCAACCATCTAAGTACTGACCAGGTTCAATGTTGCTTAACTTTGTTGATTGTACAAGAACTCCTGTTTTAATGTGATATAGGTGTAAGCCTGCATGTGGTCTTTAGATTAACCACTCTTGTATTAAGCAATATAATCAACCACAGGAAATAAATTTTAATTCAAATGAACTGCAAAACATGACTTGAGGTTTTAAATAAAAAAAAAAAAATTTAGAATGATCAAACAGACAAGCCTCACAAACCATTATCTCATGCCAAGACATTTCAAATGAGACAGGAGTGGACAAATGAGAAATTAAAATTACTCAGAAAATATTGACAAAAAAAGAATAGCAAAAAAAGTTCAGGTAAGCTGAAGCTCAAAAGTGGACATTTGGTATTTTTCGAACATTTCCCAAGTGATTTATGATATATCTGGTCTGAAAGTAGACAGTCCCAGGATTTCAGAACATGTTTAACTTAGTCCTAACTACAAGTATTTATCGAGTTATGAACATTTTCCAAGCGATATGAGCTATTGTGAAAGTAGACAGTCCAAATAGCCTAACTTTGTCCTAAATTGAAGTATTTATCAGGTTATGATCACCTTTTTTGCTTTTTTTTTTTTTTTTTTTTTTTTTAAGCGTTTCACCCCAAGCAAGGCAGGAAGCCACTAGGACGCAAGGGGTTACAGAAAGTTTAGAGCAAGATCAGATAGGAGTGATAGAAGAAAGGATGAGGAGAAGGGTAGTGGATAGATCAAAGCAACTGGAGATGTCGATTGATATTACACTTGAATAGCTGGAGATTATAGCTCTCAGGGAAACAGGAATAGGGAAGGGAGTTCCACAGGCGAGAGGTGCGAGACATGAAACTATTGGAGTAGAAGAGACGGATACATTTAATAGTTTCAATGCAAGGGCAAATTGTTGATTTGTAGATCTGGAGGATCGATTCCGGGGAGAAAAATTTCCTTGCACGGCACAGGGAGCCAACTTTCCTTGTGGTGGATGAAGCAATTGACCCAAAAGTTAATCAAAACTCACACTGACATTAGTACAGTGAGAGCTGTATCAATCCACCTGCCTGTGGTCATACAAAACTCAAGATGTCAATTTTTTTAGGAAGTGAGTTTCCTGAAAACTTTGGTTAACTATTAAATATTTATGGTTTCCATCTTTGTTCTCATTGTTCCTGTTTTGAATTTAAATTGTGCAACATTTAACCAAAACATACAAATTCTTTTTATTTTTAATAAACTTTTAAAAAATTATGTTTGTTTTGCTCTTGCAGGATGTATAAAGTCCACAAGTGGTCCATATGCACCCTGTGGGCTGTAGGTAGTCCACCCACTCCTGATCTAAAGAGTAGACATGTTACACTAAAATTGGGGGTCTGTGATTACTATATATGAAAGAAAATAGGGCAGCTTGATGAGGTGTAATAGTTAGCAAGCTTGTTTTGCAAAATCAATTAATACTGTGTAGTGAGTTCGATCCTCACTGGCTGCCTTGTGCCACATCTAAGCTACACTTATAAAATCAGTATATGAAAGGAAATAAATGTGAATGTTATTTGTACATTTATTTTTAAACTTTATTATTTTATTCGATGCATTTTGTGAACAGACTACTCAAATATATAAGAAATGAGTTTAATATTTAATAGATTTGTTACTATTAATGTGATCTGCACAGCCAAGAAAAATCTTTCACAATAATAAGATTGATTTGGTTTGATTTTTTTATGGCATATCAACCTGAATGGGTTATTTAATGCCGACAATATTTTTATTGCTGGTATTTTTTTTTTAAATTTATTGCTGGTAATGTTTTTTTTCCTTCAAAAATCTATTTCTGGTAATATTTTTCTTCAAAAACCTATTGCAGGTAATTTTTTTTTTTTTTTTTTTTTAAATTCTATTGCAGGTAATTTTTTTCCAAAACTGTATTGCTGGTAATATTTTGTTTGTAATAATTTTCCTTTAAAAATGTATTGCCGGCAATAATCCTCCCTTCACAAAAGCATTGCGCGTAAAAATTTTTCCTACAAAACTATATTGCTAGTAATAACTCTTTCTTCAAAACTGTGTTGTTGTTAATAATTTTTCCTACATTGCCGGTAAAAAATTTATTTTTGAAAACGTATTTCTGGTAATATTTTTTCCCCTCAAAAATGTATTGCAATAATGTAATGATATTCCACAGACAAATCTACAGTTTATGTTACCTCATCTCATTGCATATCAGTGAAAAACAACAATTTTCGATTTCTTGTTGAATATACCGCCTCCTCCACTGAATGCGTCATAAAAGGCAAGAAGGTCAGAGGGAAACAGCAAATAATCTACCTAACAATCCTGTTTAAATGGATGGTAGAACAGTGAATGAGAGGTACAGGAGAAATACAAAACATTTACAAAGGATAGGAAGTTGTGAAGAGCCATGATCGCCAATTTCCTGAAGGAACACTGCACTCAGAAGATCAATTCAGATATTTATGTTAAGTATTCCACATTGTTTTAGTACTAATTTAGTATGAACAGGCAAAAGAGTGACCCTATATAAATTGAGATTGAAATATTATGTAATTGTCTCTAATTTTGTGTAAAATACTTAGATATGATATAACAAATGATCTGCAGTGAAAAAAACGATTTTCAATCTTTTGTTGAATATGCCCCCTCCTCCACCGAATGAATCATTTATAGAAAGGACATGAGAGAAGCTACATTATGGCAGTAGGAAAATGACTGAAGCCAAGATGCCAGGTCAGGACCAATAACATTGCAAATTATTTGTATTTTATCAAAAATCTCGAAATACAATAGCAGACATGGCAGCAATATTCAATACAAGGATGAATTAATGCTTGGTGTGTTCTAGCAGGCCACATGCATCTTGCAGATTGTAATTTATCCAACGATGTTCTAAGCAATATAATCAATTGTGAGATTCAAATTTTAAATCAAATAAATTGCAATGATTGGATAGTAACAAGGTTTTAAAAAAAAAAAAAAAATGAAGTTTTTACTTACATGTTTACAATGAAAGGATGAGTAATGGTTTCTAGAATTGCACGTTCACTTTTAACATGTTCTGCTTGCTTAAGTCGGATTACTCCAGCAATAGACATTATTTTTAAGGCATAATATTCTTTGCTTTGTTTATGGCGGACAAGAACAACACGCCCGAATGTACCAGTACCTGGAAAAAAAAAAATATATATATATATATATATATTTTAAATTATATTTTAGCATTAAAAGAAAAAAAAATTTGCACTGAGGCAGGGAGAAATAAATAAATAATAATTATCAAATTTGGGGATTTTTTTTTTATTTAGATCACATCATATGCAAGGCAGTAAAGCCACTAAGCCAGGGGGTTACTGAGGGTGAAAGAATAAGAAAAAACAGAAACATTAAGGAGCGAGAACAATAGAAGAGTAATCAGGAAGACAATAGATAATGAGTGACATTGCATTTAAATTTGTTTTCTAATCATTTCACCCCATGCGAGGCAGTAAAGCCACAAAGGGTTATTGATTGTAAAAGAATAAGAAGAAATAGAAACATTATTAAGGAGTGAGAACAATAGAAGAGTAATCAAGAAGACAATAGATAATGATTGATATTTCATTTAAATTTGTGAACATCAAAGTTGGCTGGAAAGGATGGAACTAGAAGAGGGTTCCACAAGCAAGAAGTGTGAGAAAAAAACTGCTAACAAAGAATTGTGAGACCTTCCCACCAATCTAGTACTATGCTTAAATTCATAAAATCTAGATATCATACAAGAAAGTTCATCTGAATAATTACCAGGAAAGTACTTATAGAAAAGGTGCAGGAAAGCTACATTACAGTGGTAGGAAATTCACTGAAGCTGAGATGCCAGGCCAGGCCAAATAATATTGCTGATTCTTCTTTTATTCAGTTGAATCTAAATATACAGCATAAGCACTGGACCATATATGGTTGCAATATTTAAAACATGGTAGATTTATAAATATGTAAGATAGATTCAAGAGAAAAAAATTGTTTAGGACAACACAGTGGACCAACTTTATTAGCAGCAGACCTAGCAATGGATTCAATATAATCTTTCCACTTCATGTCAGTCGAGAACATAAACCAGAGAAGGTGCAACGGGTCACTCTCATGAAGATTAGTGACAGCCATGCTGATGATTAGGAATTTATGCATATGGTAACATCATAGACAAATGACAATTAAATAGAAAGGTAAATTATTTTTGGCAGAATATGTAACTGAGGGAATGGCAAGGAATCCCAAGACACTTCAGTTTGTTAGTGAGGATTGCCAAAAGAAAAAATCTGAAGGATATGTACGTTTTCTGATATTATCTTTCATTAGGCAGCATCAAAAGATAAAAGATTTGAAAGAATATGTCTGAGAAAGTATATTTTATGGCATACATAACCCCTCTTTCCCTACTGCCAAAAATATCCTCCCTTGGGTTTTATGTAAAGGTAAGGTTTGTGATAGAATAATGTTTACCCAGACTCCATAGACTACCAGTACTTGCACCTAGCCTAACGCCATAATACTGTAATATCTAATGTAAATGTTAGGTCTTCCATGTTATCAAATACTCTAATTAAGGCTACAGTGATACATACAAAATGTAAATATATGAATTAAAAGATAAAACGACACAATGTCAGCTGGGGTAGTAGAATACACTGACTGCACCTCTGCAGAAGGGTAAAACCATCCCACTGGGCATCCTGGGTAAGGTGATAAACTACATCCACATCCGAGACGATGGACTGCATCAGGCAGTGGGCCTTTAGTCAGGAGGTTTTGAGGAGCGTGGAGGCATCTCTTGGTTATGGTGTTCATGGGCCTGCCCTAGCTTGTGGTGGTGGCTTCTGTCGGGGTCGCAGCTATGGGCTGTGGATCATTAATTGCTTAGAGACAGAAACCTATAATTAATAACCGATTTTTTTTTATTTTTTATAAACACATAATTAATAATTTTTTTTTTCATTTTTGCTTGCTTTCTTTATACACCAGGTGTAACAGCAAAATTGTCCATCTCACAAAATGTTTAATACCTAAAAAAAAAATTCACTAAACTAATGAGTTTTTTTCTTTCTAGGTTTTCAGATAACATGTTTAACCATCTTGACAGCATTTTTTATAAGAATCAATGAAAAACCCTTTAACGAGTTATTCAGCTAGAAAGAGAACAGGTTAAAATTGTTTTGTGTCAGACCCACTGTCTTCCCAGCTGAGTAATGGTAAGAGGAAAAAGGTCATTTAGGCCTTTAGTAATGGTACGGACATTCATAATCTGGCTCAAAGTGCATTCAAGAACCATCATGAGGATGGTGAATAAGTTTTAAAAAGAGGAAACAGTAGAGAGGAAAACTGGATCAGGAGGTCACAACCAGAAGAGGGACCATCATTTCAACTTAGAGCTAAAGATATCAATTAGAAAAGATCCAACTCAATCTATAAGATGTTTGGCACATGAGAGGATTTTGAGCTGACAGTTCAACGAGCAGTGAAAAAAAGACTTGAAAATGAAATCATACATGAAACCTCTGAGGCACCTTGTTACTCCAGGACAGAAAGTTAAAAAGTTAGAGAGGGTGAGATCATCTTGAACTAGTCAAAAAATGATCCCGGAATAATATATATATTTGAACTTTATTTCAATCCTTTATGAGCTTCCAATCCTTAGCTATGATTAATTAAATGATGAACATGTCATTTTCATTTATGATCAATTACATCACAATTTTTCTATTAAGCTTGGAGGGTAATTATACATTCTTATTTCCCAAAGTAGAGTCTAATAGTGTTATAAAAACCTTGGAGAATTCCTGTAAGATATTTTTAATCATTTCTAAGATACAAAATATATGTGTGTGTGTGTGTGTGTGTTAATACACATCAAAACATGATTGTATGTGTAGTGTTTTATATGTTTTTGATATAATATCCTAAAATAAAGGATATTGCTCTAATTTTCTATTGAGCCCTCTTTTAAATTGAATGTTACAAAGGTTTGAATTGGATTCTATTCATTCTCATTTCACACAGATACATATACAGTGTAACCCGGATATAAGAGAGTTGGCAGGACCGGAGCAGAAGTTTGGTCTATTTTATATACATTAACACAGGCTCTAATTTGGGACCAGAGAAAATCTCTCTTATATCCGGGTTACACTGTATATATATTTATTTAAATCTATAGTTAATACCATATTTCTAATTTAATCTCTTTTTTGTTTACAATACCAGATTTTATGTTGAGCATTAAAGGGTGAAATAGAATTTGATATATATATATATATATATATATATATATATAAAGTGGAATCAGAACCAACAGGCAACTTGCCAAAATCCTAAATACCCTCAAACAAGATAAAATCTCAAAAGACAGCAAAAACAAAAAGATCTAAACACAAACAACTACCATCTAAATAAAATGCTCAACACCTAAATTACCTAGACAGAGCAAAAACACTTGACAACATTAACTCCTATGAAAGGATGGCCCAAGTCATAGCCTGAGTTTCACACTCACAAGGCATGAAACTCAGGTTATGACTAGTGCCATCCTTATATATAAACTTTGAATAGTTTATACATAATTTCAATCTGAATGTACATTTGGAAATTGAAAATATATATATAAATATATATATATATATATATATATATATATTATATATTATATATGGCATTTTATTTTCAAGCCATTGCATGTTATTTAAAGCCAGAAAATATTTTTAGATTATAAAAATTTTTTTTTTGCAGATAATGATTTTAGCAATACAAGTTTTACTAATTAACACAGCTGAAAGAGGGGGTAGATGAAGTGGATTCATACCTAATCAGAATTTGATATTTGATACAAACAAGAAATTATTATGTGGATTTAAAATGGGAGATCAATTCTATATTACAATCAATATATAAACTGATCCCTCACTTCTTACACACAGACGTTTCTAAACATTCATATCGCAGAGAATGTAAATAAATCTAAAATACATGCCTCTGTAGCTAATCAGTATTTGATTGATTGATTGATTCATTTTCTATGGCTTATCAAACCATTGCACATTATTTAAAGCCTGAAAATATTTTCAGATTATAGATAATAATAATAATAATAACTAACTCAATGTTACTTAACTTAAGAGAACTAGTATTTCAACGTGATAAAGCTGTAAGCCTGGATGTGGTCTGTAGGCCATAGCTTAACCACTCTTGTATTAAACAATATAATCAACCACAGGAAATAAATTTTAATTCAAATGAAATGCCAAGAGTGAACAGTAACTTGATGTTTTAAATAATAAAAAAAAAAAAAATTCAGAATGGTCAATCAGACTAACCACACAAACCATTATCTTATGCCAAGACATTTCAAATGAGATGGGAGTGGACAAATGAGAAATTAAAATTACTCAGAAAATATTGACAAAAAAGAATAGCAAAATGTCTAAGTTTAGGTAAGTATATATTAATTATTAAGTGTTAATAAGTGTTAATTTTTTTGGTGCTACAAATAACAAACTGAAATGTCTTAAATTTCTTAAAATTCTCTATTTCATATTGTAATATGAAGTTTATCTTTCTATCCAAATGTCAATTCACTGTTATGTTACCAAAGATAAGGTAATGGTAAAATTAGCTATTTTCTTATGATGAAACTTTCAGCATTCATTGACCGAGCAGCCAGTGCTCTTTTCAACTCTCCCTGGCCATCAGGCTGGGATTAAAGTATCTGTTCAAATCATCTCTGATGGCAATGGTAATTGTTAACTATGCTGACTCTTGTTGTACCACCAAAGATTGAAGTTACCATCCTTGACTAACAAATTTCTAAGATTTCCTCAGCTTAATGGATGGGTTCAAAACAGTGGCAGTAGCAGGCTTGTCTCCCTTCCTGCCAAAGTGGATTTAACCATTAGGCATTATTTACGCTTATTGAAGTTTATCTTCAGTGAACATTTTTCTGTTGTTTGGTGAAGTGCTGTCGCTCAGTTTATTGATAAAGATCCTATTTTAACAGTAATATTAGTCATTTCCTTATAAGGAAACATTCAGCATTCATTGACCACAAAGTCAATGCTATCTTTGGCTG